GCCCGCATGGACGTCCGCGCGCGATGCGCGCCGCGTCCCATTCCTGCCACATATTTCGCACCGTCGGCGACAAGGCAGGCCATGCTGAGAGGAAAAAGCGGAGACTTTGTATGGATATTTTGCAGTCGGGATGGGCGGGCCCGGATTGACGGCCGCGCGCGCGATGTGCGCCGCGTCCCATATGTGCGGCGCGTCCCACTGCTGCCACATATTTCGCACCGTCGGCGACAAGGCAGGCCATGCTGAGAGGAAACAACGAAGACTTTGCATGGATTTTCTCCCACATCCAAAGTGGGGTTCTTGTTTTCTCTGCACACGCCGAGCAGGATCTCACCCCCCCCCCTTTCCTATCTCTCTCTCTCTCTCTCTCTCTTTCTGTCTCTCACACACACTCACCATCATCACCATCATCATCACCATCAATCACCATCACCGTCATCACACGCACACACTCATCATCATTACCATCATCATCACCATCAACCACCATCACCGTCATCACTAGTTATCATCATCATCGTCACCTTCATCACCACTCTATCACCCACTCACTCACTCAATTACTCACTCATCCTCAGTCGGCTTCGGAGGCAGTGGTCCTCCGACGGTAGGACCGCCGCCTCTCTCAACATCATCGTCACCATCACCATCATCATCTCTCGATCATCCACTCACTGGTCATCATCATCATCCGCATCATCATCACTCACTCGTCACTCATTCATCATCAGCACTCACTGACTCATCACTTCGTCATCAGTCACTCCCTAGATTGAATATGGAGGAAGTATCTGGCGGGAGCGTCGTCGGTGAGTGAATTGCGCGGAAGTCTCAGGCGGGAGCCCCCTCCCTATGGGGCCCGCACTTCATGTTGGTAATCCGAGCGGGTCATCCGAAACGTGTAACTGTCTTCACTTTTGGGCTCCTGAGGCTTCAATATGGAGGACGTATCAGGCGGGAGCTTCGTCTGTGAGCGAATTGCGAGGAAGTCTCAGGTGGGAGCCCCCTCCCTATGGGGCCCGCGCTTCATGTTGGTAATCCGAGCGGGTCATCCGAAACGTGTAACTGTCTTCATTTTTGGGCTCCTGAGGCCTGAATATGGAGGAGGTATCAGGCGGGAGCCTCGTGTGTGAGTGAATTGCGAGGAAGTCTCAAGCGGGAGCCCCCTCCCAATGGGGCCCACACTTCATGTTGGCAATCCGAGCGGGTCATCCGAAACGTGTAACTGTCGTCACTTTTGGGCTCTTGAGGCTTGAATATGGAGGAAGTATCAGGCCGGAACTTCGTCTGTGAGTGAATTGCGAGGAAGTCTCAAGCGGGAGCCCCCTCCCAATGGGGCCCGCAGATCATCTTACGAATCCGAGCGGGTCATCCTGAAACGTGTAACTGTCGTCACTTGGGCTCCTGAGGCTTGAATAGGAAAGAGGTATCGCGCGGGAGTTTCGTTTGTGAGTGAATTGCGAGGAAGTCTCAGGCGGGAACCCCCTCCCTATGGGGCCCGCAGATCATGTTACAAATCCGAGCGGGTCATCCTGAAACCTGTAACTGTCGTCACTTTTGGGTTTCTGAGGCTTGAATACGAATGAAGTCTTAAGCGGAAGCTTTGTCTGTGAGTGAATTGCGAGGAAATCTCAGGCGGCAGCCCCCTCCCGATGGGGCCCAGCGAACAGGAGCTCACGTGGCAGAGCTCGGGGGCGCACGCTGTGCGGCGCTCGGGGTTCACCCTGACGCATGCGTCCTACCTGACCTCCACGCTGTCGCAGGGCCAGACGCTGCGCAAGGGCGTCACCATCGACTGCGCCAGGGAGCATGCGGAACATGCTGATCCTGCGGCCGCCCGCGCGAGAGTTCCTGGAGCGCGGGCCGCCGGCGTCCCCGCGGAAGGCGCTACAGGAGTTTGGCAAGAGAGCGGTGGGCTCCAGGGCTGAGGCGGCGCAGCTCGCGGCAGAGCTGGGCTTCGTGCCGCCACCCGCCTGAGCGCCGCGGCGCGTACCTGAAGGCCCCCGGGGTTGTCCCAACGGCTGGCTCCCGCGCCCCTGCGGCCTGCGAGGTTGTCCCAACGGCTTGGCCCGAAGGGTTGTCCCGACGGCTTCGCGATCTAGCCGTCGGCAAACGCGCGCGTGCTGGCCGACGCGGCGACGGCGCCGAGGAAAATCGAGTTGCTTGCCACGACCAGGGGGAACGGGAGGTGCACATGGAGAAGAGGCAGGAGGGGGAGGAGGGAAGGGGCATGGGGGAGGGCGACGACGAGGAGGAGGTTGCGCGAGAGGAGGAAGAGGAGGAGGAGGAGGAGGAGGAGGAGGAGGAGGAGGAGGAGGAGGAGGAGAAAGAGGGAGAGAAATAAAAAGAGGAATAGAGGGCAGTGCAGAGGGCAAGAGGAGAGGGTGTCCGCCAGGGGGAGGAGGAAAAGGGCAAAGGGTAAGCTAAACAGATTCTCGTGTGGGGTCCTACCGGCGGAGTAATTTACAGTCAGGATGGGCGGGCCCAGATTGACTGCCGCGCGCGATGCGCGCCGCGTCCCATTCCTGTCACGTTTTTCGCATCGTCGACGACAAGAAAGACGATGTTGAGAAGAAGAACGGCCACTTTGCATTGTTTTTTAACCGTCCGGATGGGAGGTCCCGGATTGGGCCCCTATCGGCCGGAATACGAAGTAGGTGGGGGTATATTCTAATAAGGAACAAGGATAAACCCCTCCCCGAAGGGAAAGAAAGGGGGTTGGAAGAGGAAACTCCCTAAACCACCTACGCCCAGAGGGCTGGTGGGATTCGGCACACCCCTCACACGTTTCGTGGCCCCATGAAGAGCTCCGCCGAAGGCCCCTGTGCTGCCGCCCGCATGCGTCCCGCACACCCAACCCTGGTTGGAGGACGGGGTGTTTATTAATAGGGAATAGTGATAAACCCCTCCCCGAAGGGGAACAAGGAGGGGTGGAAGAGGAAACTCCCTAAACCACCGACGCCAAGAGGGCTGGTGGGATCAGGAGAAGTCTCTGGCGAATCGTACTTGTGAGCACACCTCTCAAAAGTACGATCGGGCAATTGTGCTTTTCAACGGAGGGGGGGGGCACTCAAAAGTACGACCTGGGGCCGCTGGCCGGGGCCTTGGGAAACGCCGGGCGCGGGCGTCGCCGCGAGGCCGCGTTGGCGAGCCGAGTTGGTACGTGCCCAAATCTGCTTGCGTCCAAAATCACGTTCCAAGGACTCCTTCGTTCATGCGGCCCTGTGTGGTTTTTTCTTGAACCAGGGATGTGGAGAAACATGCAGTCTGGAGAAAGCAGCACACCCCAAGAGGGGGAGGATAGATGAGGAATCGGAAGAAAGGGGAGGGAGGGGGAGAAAGGATGATGGAGGAGGGAGGAGGAGGAGGAGGAGGAGGAGGAGGAGGAGGAGGAGGAGGAGGAGGAGGAGGAGGAGGAGGAGGAGGAGGAGGGGGAGGGGGAGGGGGAGGAGGAGGAGGGAGGAGGAGGAGGAGGAGGAGGAGGAGGAGGGAGGGAGGAGGAGGAGGAGGAACATGCGGATGAGGATGACATGGAGGGGGAGGAGGAGAACGGGGAGGGAGAGCAGACGCCAGGAGGAGGACGAGGAGGGGGAGGAGGAGGGAGGAGGAGGAGGAGGAGGAGGAGGAGGAGGAGGATGAGGAGGAAGAGGAGGAGGAGGAGGAGGAGGAGGAGGAGGAAGAGGAGGAGGAGAAGGAGGAACAGCAGGAGGAGTTGGAGGAGGAGGAGCAGCAAGAGGGCGAGCAGAGGTGCCAGAGGCTTCTTGGAGGCCTCGTGGGGCGTCTTTGGGTCTGTTGGCGTTCCTAGGGGCCTCTTGGGGCGTCTTGGCTGCATTTGGGGAGCCCGTTGGGGGCATCTTGGGGTGAGGCCATCTTGGGTCCCTCTTGGAGGCTTCTTGGAACCATCCTGGAGGCCTTCTTGGCACTATCCATCCATCAAAGAGGGGGGTCCCTAACTAGTGCCCCCTCTGGAGCCCCCAAAGTTGCCTCTTGGGGCCCTCTTTGGGTACTCTTGGGTGCTTTGGGGGCTGTCTCTGGGCCATCTTGGGCCACTCTTGGGCCGCTCTGGGGCCGCGCTCGGGCACTCTTGGAGCCATCCTGAAGCCTCGGACAGCCATCGGAAGCGAAGGGGCGAAAAGGCAACCATCATTGATGCTCCTATGCTTTTGGGCGGATTTCGGTCTCTTGGGAGCCTCCTTGGGAATCTTCGTGACCACTTAGACCCATCTTGGAGCCATCATGGGGCCTATTGGAAGCATCTTGGATGTCATCTTGAACCAACTTGGACCATCTGACGCCTTCTTGGGCGCCATCTGAAAGCATCAGGGCCACCCTGGAGCCCTCTTGGGCCAAACGCCTCCCAAATATGAGCCCGACAAGTCAAACTCCTTCAAAATTCGTGTCGTTTCGCCGTTGGCGCTGCTCAAAGGGAGGGGGTATTCCATTAGGGCCTCCCTCCTGGAGCTCTCACAGTCGCCTCTTGGGGCCCTTTGGGGGCGCTATTGGGGCGCTCTTGGGCGGTTCCGGGGCCGTCTTGGGGGCCCTCTTGGAGCCATCTTGAGGCTTCGATAACCAATCGGAAGCGAAAGGGCGAGAGGGCTGAAGGCAATGTTTTTCCTTTGGTTTTTGGCAGATTGTGGCCTCAGGCACCTGGCCCACTTGGACCCGTCTTGGAGGAATCTTGGGACCTCTTGGAATGTCGTGGAAGCCATCTTGAGCGATCGTGCACTATCTTGGGCCATCTTGGAGATCATCATGGGCTCTCAGAAGCCCTCGGGGAGCCGTCTTGGACCGTCTTGGACGCACCAACGACCAGCGGGGCGCTCCGTCCAGGTCCATGGGGAGGGGGGAGGGGGAGGGGGAGGGGTAAACCGCTCTCCGAAGGGGAAGAAGGGGGTTGGAAGAGGAAGCTCCCTAACCCCCTCACGCCCACAGGGATGGTAGGATTCTGCATCGACTCACAGGACGCAGCAGAGAACCCCGTCTTGTTTCTGGAGCACGTGATGAGTTGCGCCGAAGCGCTAATTCCAGCGGGCGAGCACGCCAAGGTGACCTACCTCGACGATGAAGGGGACGCCTGCACCCTCCTGGAGCAGAGCGTTCTAGACGCTCTCTGCATGGCTTCGTCCGGCGACGGTGACCAGGCCACCGTCAGCCCGCGCCGAGCACAAACCTGGATATCAGAGCGCTTCGTCCAGCTGGACTCTGGCGACGTCGCCAGGCGACGGCGACCAGTCTGCAGCTTTGCCGACGGCGCGAGCTTGGAGCATTCCAGGGTGCTCCTGCTGTGCGTGCAGGGCGGTGGCTCCAGGCACTCGGCCGAGGCTGTCTCCGAGTCCTCGGGGGCCTGTGCGGACGCAGCGGCAGCGCCGGCAGACCTCCGGGCCGTGGAGGAGAGCAAGCTGCGAGCGCGCGCGGACATGCGCGCCCACCTGGCGGCGTTCCTGGGCGGGCGGCCCCGAGCGCGCTTCGAGGAGTGGATCGCGGACTACCACCCCGACAACGTGGTCCCGCCAGGGCGCGACTCGCGCGGGCTGCCGACCATCGACCGCCGCCTCTACCACGAGGGGGGCGACCACCGCGCGATCTGGAGCGAGCACGCGCGGGACGACGGGCCCGCTCCCGAGGCAGAGGCGGGGGCCCAGGTGGGGCGCCGCGAAACGGTCGGGCGGGGCCATGACGAGGACAGATCCGCTCCAGAGCGTGAGAAGGCCGCGGCGCGCCCGAGACATCCTCCAGAGCCGTCGGATCTCAGAGATCCTCGATTCCCGGCCCTGGCTCCGTCTTACATGGGGGGAGATAGCTCAGGGGGCCCTTTGGAGCCCGAAGGGCCCAAGAAGTAGCCTTTTCTGTCCCCTCCACGCCGAAGAAGGGACCCTTTCCGTTGGGGAGGGGCTCAGTGTGCCTTGATTGTTTCGTAGTTCTTTTCAAGGTTGTCCTCGGGTTCTCTGTGGGGAGTCGAAGCTTGACTTATGGGGAAAAGGGGCCTCGGTCGTGATCTCGGGTCCCTTATGACATCGCTTCGTCTGTATCGCCCCCCCGTGACTTCACGCCCAGCCAGGGCGCGGCCAGCCCGAGAGAGCCGACTGCGGCGGAGCCCGAGGCCGCCGGCGCCGCTCCCGCCGAGCCTGGCCGGGCGGCGCCGGAGGACGCCGGGGCGGCCCGGGAGAGTCTGGGCCTGCCAGGAGGTGGGATTGGGAGGGCGGCGCCGCAGCGGCGATGCAGCGGCGATGCGGCTCGATGTGGAGCCCGATGTTCTCCACGCCGACGGCGCCAGTGCATCGCCAGTGCATCGCCAGTGCATCGCTGATGCATCGGCGATGCATCGGCGATGGGGCGCGATGCTCCGACCCCATCTGCTCCGAGTCCATCTAGGAGGCCTCCAGAGGCGGAGGTGGGGTCGACCGCGGGGCAGAGCGGGACCGCCAGCGCGGCCTGGGCCTGCGATCGAAGGGCGCCCTCGAGGGCGCGAAGTTCTTCGCGGTTTGGCTCCGATTCCTCCTCATCCTCCTCATCCGCCTCTTCCCCTGGGGGCGGCGCGAGAGCGCGAAGTTATTGGTGCTTCGCGCTTCGCGCAGCGCGAAGCGCGAACTTCGGAGCCCTTGACGATCTTCGCCTGCCCGACGATCGACTACGTGAAAGCGTGACCCTTCGCCGTAGTAACCTTTGGTGCGGGACCATCGGGGTCCCCCGATCGCCGAACTCGATGCGATGGTAGTGTTTTGAACGCTTGTGTTTTGCCCCCCCGCCGCTCCAACAAAAACTGCGCACCAGAGGTCGCTCTTACCCAGGGTTGCTCTTGCGTGTAGCCGAGACGAGGAGGAGCAGCGCTCGCTCTGGGACGCGTGCAGGGTCGGCGGCCTCAAGAGGGCGGCGCAGCTCGTCGGGGCCAAGCCCATGCACATCGGGTGCGCCTTGAGTTCGCTGCTCGCGGGCGCCGCCGAGCACGCCTCCGGCGCTGCAAGCTGGGAAACGTCAGCGGCGTTACCCTCGGGAGCTTCGCGGGCTCCTCCGAGCACAAAAGAGCAGCACTCGTTCTTGGACGTGTGCAAGCTTGGGGATTTCAAGAAGGCAAAGAAGCTCATCGACGCCAAGCCCGAGCTGATCAACGCACAGCCAGAGAGGCGTTGGTCTGCCCTGCACCACTTCGCTCAGCGAGGCCACGAGGAAGCTGTCCGCTACCTTATAGACCGTGGTGCGGACCTGAGCGCCCTCAACGTGGACGGCGCTACGCCGCCCGAGGTAGCCGACGACTCCGTCTTGCACCTCTTTATCGCGGGGCACGATGGCGGCATTGTCCTGGGTCCAGCCCCCGTGGTTGTGGAAGCTGAGCCAGCTGCCGAGTCTGGGCCAGCAAAGGCGCCCAGCGCCGTAGGCTTGTCGCCGTCGCGCCGCAGGCGTAGCTCCCAGGAGGACAGTCTGCACGGGGAGGCGGTGGCGGGCGCGATGGCCAGTACTGCCGTTACCTCCTGCCTGGAGGACCTCGGGGCGGAAAACGCGCGCCTCGAGGAGTCATCCCCATCCCTCGCGGCGGAGGCCTCGCGCGTGCAGGAGTCCGCGGAGGCCTCGCTGCGGGATGCCGCGCGGGAGCAGCGCAGGCTGGAGCGCGAGCTCGAAGAGACGCTGTCGCGAAACGCCGCCCTTCTGGCGGAAAGGGATGGGCTCCGGGCGAGCCTGCAGCAGGCGCGCCAGCAGCTGCGGGCGCAGAGCTCACAGGCCGACGGCCTCCAACACCAGCTTGCGACAGCGGCCGCGTCCGTGCGCGCGGCGGCCCCGGCGGACGAGGGCCCCTCCGCCTCGGTCGTCAGCTGCGAGCTGGTCGTCGGCGTGGAGGTCCGCGAGAGCGAGGGCGGCTGCGGGGACGCCACGGAGGAGCTCGGAGAGCTCGTCTTCGCCTCCGGAGCCCGAAGCGCCTTCCGCCTGGGCAGCGTCGGCCTCGCTACTGTGCCCCTGGGAGCGGGCGCCGAGGCGGAGGCCCCGGTGTGCGCGCAGGTCAGGGTTCTGAACGACGGCGCCACGGAATGGCCCGCGACCGCCGCGGTGGTCTGCCTGTCCGGCCCCGGCCTCGGGGCCCCGCTGTCGGCTGTTGGGCCCCTCGCCGCAGGCGATCGGAGGGCACCCCTGGTGCACCGACACCGATCCTGGCCAGGCCGACCCTGGGCCCTGGCTCGGTATGCCTCCCTGCCCGCGCCGGGAGGGCGAACGCGCTGATCCTGGGCCCGGGGTGCTCCTGGCGAGGATCGGTGCAGGTGTGCACACCGCGTCCTCCCAGGCGAAGCCACCGACGTCACCTTGGACCTGGCGCTGCCGCCCCGCTCGGAGCCCCTGGAGAGCCGCAGCGTCTGGGCGCTGGTGGACGCGGCGTCGGGGCGCCCGCTGGGGCCACTGCTGGTGCTCGACGCCGCGTGGCGGGCCGAAGCTGCGTGAGGGTTTCGCTTCGCACGCGGTGCCCCCGCAGCTGCGCTGGCGCCCCTCGGCGCGGACTCCACCAGTTCAGGCCTCCCAGATGGGGTCCGAGCAGATTGGGGTCGGAGGATCGCGCCGCATCGCCGATGCATCGGCGATGCGGCTCGATGCGAAGCCCGATGTTCTCGACGCCGACGGCGCCGATACATCGCCGTCGTCGCCAATGCGCTGCGATCTCCTGGCCCCATGTGGTCGCCCTACGCCCTAGCAGGATGGTGCATAGGTCCTCCTGGCCTCGGCCATCACTGCCGGGGATGGCCCTGGCCAGGCCCGCGTGGTGGTCTGCAGGGGCTTTCTGCGCCTGTCAGTAGCGCCCGCGCTTGGACGCGGTCCTTCTTCACCCGTGGGCTGCTGGAGCGGCGCCATCCTGGGTGCTGCCAGCGTGCCGTGCGCTCTGTCGTTGCAGCACCGCGTCGATTTACAGCTGCACCCGGGTGCCGCGCCGTCCTTGCATCTGCTCTTTTCGTCTCCCTCATTCTCTTCGCCGTCGCTCCGAAGCTGGCTTCTGTTTGTGCGTGTCGTCTCGCAGTCGACGTATCAATCGTTTCAGCGTCTTCAAATGGCGAAGCTTGCTCATCGTCCGTCTCGTCCTCGTCGGCGCTGCCCTCCACCCTGCTCACTGCTCCCTCCTCTTCCTTTCTTCCTTCCTCGTTATCAACAGCGCCATCGTCATCACAATGCCCGCTGCCAACCACATCCAAATGCCCATCACCGCCACAATGCGCGACATCATCAAGACCATCATCACCACCATCCTCATGACCATCATTATAGCAATGCTTCGACAACGTGTTGTGGTGGGCGGGCCGGGTTACAACGGGCAAGCAAGTATAGTTCCCCGTGCTCATCCTGAGAAGGGCCTTGTGCATGTGCCAAGTTTCGAAAACTAAAGGCTTGGTGTGGGCGCAAAGGTGCTCATCGGGTACCAGGCTTGCGCCTGGAGTGCTACCTGGATGGATGCGTGTTCGCCACTGGGCCGCTCCATGTGGGGCCCGCTGGTCAACTGAGCGAGCAGGCGCGTGGAGCGCCCGCTAGAAGTAATTATGCATGTTCGCTGTCTGCGCGGGCGACTTCACCAGGACACTGCAGGCCCACGTCTGGGTAGTCACGCAGCGCGCCTACGAGATGCTGGCCGACGTGGCCCAGACCCTTAGCCAGGAGATGTGCCTGCCACTCGCGGAGGACACGGTGTTGCTGGCCTCCTCGGGCCCAGTAATTGGGCGACGCGCAGCGCGATTGCGCAGTGAATGGGGCTTCCGCTACGTCGACCCGATGGAGATCGTGGGCATGGAGGTCAGCGCTGGCAGGCCGACCAAATACACCACGACCTGCCAACGCGTCAGCAATATGAAAGTCCTGCCGAGGCGCTTTCGACAACTTCGCATGCTGGGGGTATGGGCGTGGCAAGATTGCGAAGGCGGCGATCTCAGCGCCCATGGAATACGGCCTTGAGATGGCGTGTGCCCCGCCGACGGTACAATGACCCAACAGACGCAGCACATTATTCAGGAGGCGCGCGGGTGGATGCCGCCATCGGCACCGAAGCGGGTTATCACCGTGCTGAAAGACGCCCACGACCCGCAGGTCTCAGCTTTAGTGGACCGGTCTACCGCTGGGCCATCCTGGTCGGCGAGCAGAGAATCGAGAACCACGTCATGTTGCAAGCGTGGAAGAAGCAGTGGCAGAATTTGAAGGGCCACGGCAACCATTGGGCGAGAATGGCTGGGGCCACGGGAGGAGCCATGAGCAGAGCAGAGGGCCAAACGCCCAGGGGCGCGTCGGCAGGCGCTACTGTAGCGCACTCACGTGTTTCCTCCAAGCACGTTCTTCTTGCACAAGGTCTTCCCATCGCCTTTGTTCTCCAGCTGAGGATGCAGCTTGAGGATGCAGCTTGAGACCAGCGTGAGAGCTAAACATTCGCGTGAACCAAAAACTCGCGTGAGCCAAACATTCGCGTGAGGATGCAGCTTGAGACCAGCCCTGCGACAGTGACAGCGCCTCAAGCGGCGTTTGCCGCTGCGGCCCCCTGGCGGCGGCGGCGCAGATGAGAGAACGTGGGCGAGCGCGCCAAGCAGGGCGCGAGCATCGACGAATGCAGCAGCGGAAACCCGCAGCGCAGCCAGCGCGGGCAGACCAGCGCCGAAATGGAGGTCGCGATGCTGCGCGGTTAGCGGCCAGGCCAGCATCCGCCGCTCAAGAAGCAGCGGGGAGGCAAGAGGTCAGTGGCTGAAAGAGAACAGCCTGCAGCCCCGCCGCCCGTGACAAGTTGGCGAGGCCATCCCTGCAGCGGCGCCACTGGGCCACATCGTGTCTTTCGGTGGCGGCATCATCGGGTGCCAGAAGTGCGGGATGTGCGCGGCAGCAACAGGAAGTGCCGCATCCAGCGTTTCTTTGGAGGGCGGCACCCCAGTGGCGAGAAGACCTGTGCAAGTCTGCAGGCGGGAGACCCCGAGGTGGAGTGACTACAGCTGGGCTGAAAGAGGCGCTGCGCCACCCGAGCGTATTCAACATCGTCGTCGGGTCCATCCTGTGGGCCGTGGCGCTCCTGATCACCGCTGGCGACCTGGTCGCCGTGGGCAGCATCGTTTTGATCCGTGCGGGCTTGAGTGCGCGGCAGAAGGGTCCCACTCGGCCGTGGCTAGGTGTTCTCGCCTGGCGGACCTTGTGGTCGATGACAGTCCCGATCATCATCATCATCATCATCATCATCATCATCATCATCATCATCATCATCATCATCATCATCATCATCATCATCATCACCATCACCATCACCATCACCATCACCATCATCACCATCATCACCATCATCATCATCATCACCGTCATCTTCTTTTAGCCTCGTCATCTCCAGCATCATCTCCATCAGTATGGAGCATCGTCATCATGATCAGCTTCACAAATATATTCGTCATCATCGGCATCGCCATGATCACCATCATCGCTATCATCGTCGTCATCGTCATCACCATCTTTCTGCCCAGCCATCATGTGGTCTTGAGTCGTTGGCTTGTAACGACAGCGTCGCGTTCAACCTCACCTCCTCCCTCCTCCTATCCCTGCCCCTGCCCTCCGCATGTCGATTTGGTCACACCCCTTCATACGTTTCGTGGGCCTGTAGGGAGTTTCAAAAGAGGCCCAATTGCCAGCGTCCGCGTGTCACCGCCGCCTGATTTCGGCACACCCCTCACACGTGTCGTGGCCCCGTGGGGAGATCCTGTTGTAAGGCCCAAGTGCCTGGGTCCGCATGCCACCGCCGCCTCATTTCGGTTCACCCCTCACACGTTTTCTGGCCCCACAGGGAGCTCCATCAGAGGTTCCAATGCCAGGATCCGCATGCCACTGCCTTACCAATTTCGGCACACTACTTATGTACACGCTTCGTGGCAAAGGCCCGCATGCCATGGTTTGCATGCCACGGCCGCCACCATTTCGGGACACTCCTCATACGTTTCGTGGCCCCCTGGGGAGCTCCACCGAAGGCCAACATGCCAGGGTGCGCATGCCCCCGCCGCACCCTCTCAGGCACACCGCTCACACGCTTCGTGGCCCCATACAGAGCCTCGCCGGGAGCCCCAGTTGGAGGATTCGCATGCCACCGCCGCACCCATGTCGGCAGCCCGGTGTCGCGTTCTGCGGCCCCATAGAAGGCTCCACCGAAGGCCACAGTGGGAGGATCCGCATGCAACAGCCGAGCCCATTGCGGCACACCCCTGTCTCGTTCCGTGGCCCTATATAGAGCTTCACCGAAGGCCCTTGCGGGAGGGTCCGCATGCCACCGCCGCACCCATCTTGGCACACCCATCACACGTTCCGTTGCCCCATGGAGGATCTCACCAAAGGCCCCAGTGAGAGGGTCCGCATGCCAGCGCCGCGCCGACTTCGGCACCCCGAATACGTTGCGTGGGAACTTAGGGAGCTCCGCCAGAGGCCCAAATGTCAGGTTGCGCATGCAGCCGCCGTGCCCATTTCGGCTCACCCCTCGTGGCCCGCAGCGAGCCCCACCAACATCCCCAATGGGAAGGTCCGCAGCCACCGCCGCGGCAATTTCAGCGCATCCCTCGCACGTTTCGTGTTCTCTCATGGAGCTTTACCGAAGGCCCCAGTGCGAGGGTCCGCAGCCACGGCCGCATCCATTTCGGCTCATTTCTCACGTGTCGTGGCCCCATGCAGAGCTCCACCGAAGGCCCCAACGGGAGGCTCTGCATGCCGCCGCCGTTCCCACGTCGGCACACCCCTCTCGCGTTCCGTGGCGAGCTTCACGCAATTCGTCCCACCTGCCTTGCGGTACTCACACTTGCAGATGCTTTGGCCTTTCGCAAGGGCAATGTTCTCCCATGATGTCTGCATTACCTGGCCGTTGTCGAGCGCAGGGGCCAACATAAGCCGGCCCGCGAAGGGAAGCTGGGCCCAGGGGATGGAGTCGAGAGCTCCAGGCCTCCTTTTCCCTCATCTGCCGCCCAATCTGTTCAACCGACGTCGCCAGAAGGTGCACTCCCCAAGATGCCTGCTTCTACGTATCGGGTCGCACCTGTGCCCTGCTTGGGACAGTTATGTCCTACGTACGGCAGCTTCGCCGTGCACATGCCCTCATTCTCGCAGCTATGCCGTATCATTGGGGCCTCATGATTGCTCGGCCATTGCGATCACTTCTACGGTGGCTGCCAGCTCCGATGGCTCAAGCACGTGCGGGGCTGAAGCCATGCCACGTGCGGCTATGTTAAGAAGGCATTTCCCAGACACCATTGTGAAACAGCAAACCATATCAGGCTTCTAATGCAGCAGCTGCATGGTCAGCGGTACCCCCGACTCCAAGAGGTGACGTCCGCCTCTCTCTCTCTTTCTCTCTCTGTGTTTTCTCTTTATCGTTGCGTGTTGCGATGAATTGTCTTTGTGTTCATTTCTCGCCTCCTCAGCCATCTTTTCATACTCCTTCTCCTCCGATCCCTTATCGCTGCTCCTGCTCCTCATCGTCTTCCCCCGCCTCGTCGTCCTCCGACTCCTCCGTCCCTAGCCCTCGTCTTCTTCATCGGAGCTGATTTGAGGCCGTAGAGTGCCCAGAGCAGCTCTCTTGAGCAGAGGACAGCCAATCTTCTCTGGTTATACTGTCTCGCCATTCCGCGCAGCTGCCGCGAATGTCGCGGCCAAGCGGCACGTTTATAGCAACCATCACAAAGCCTCCTGCGCTTGTACAAAGCGGTACATTTGACCCATGACAGCCTTTTCTCTAGAGTCATAGGCAGAGGCAGAACGTTCGCTGCCACAGATGACAATAGCCTGATCGTATCCCTCATCTCCACCTCGTCCTTCCCCTTCTGCTCTTCCTGCCCCTCCCACCCTCTGGGATCAAATCACCCCGGCGCGACCCCAACTTGGGGAACGCGTCCGCGTCATTGTTTGGTATTGCTTAGCATGTCTTTGCTTTGCTTGGCATTGCATGACCGTGCTTGCCGTTGCATTGCTTTGAGTTGCTTGGCGTCGTTTGGCTTTGCTTTGCGTTGCTTGTCTTGTAGCGCATGTGTCTATATTCCTTGGCGTGGCTTTGCTTTGCTCATTAGTGTACTTCATGCATGTGCATTGTTTGACATTGCTTGGCATTCCTTGTACTGCTTGGAAAGAGAACCAGGAAACCACATCATGGAACCAAGGATCCAAGACAAAGTAACCAATATTGCAAGACCAAGGAGCCAAGGGTCCCAGAACAAGTAAGCAAGGGACCAAGGCAAAGGAGTCAATGTGCCAAGACCAAGGAATTAAGACACTAAGGTTAAGAAACGAAGGAATTAAACCAAGGAGCCAAGCAACCAAGATCATGTACACAAGGCTCATTTCTGGCTGCCTATTCTGGAGTATGTGCGTGCGTTTTTGTCCTGGCATGTGCGCGCGTTGTGCGAGCATATGCGCGGCATGTGCCCCGCATGTGAGCGGCGTTCCGTCGATGCGCAGTGATCCAGCGACGTGCGCATCTGTGCGGGCATGTGCCGGAGCATGTGCTTTGAGTTTTCCACCTGTCCGCTCGGTCCTTGCCATTCGAGCGTTGTCGGCGACTGCGCCCATGTGCCCGGCGTGTGCGGATCCCCCCGTGCAGTTTTGGCGGCGCTAGGGCGATGCAGTAGGTGCCCGCACCACGGCTGCTTGCTCAGGCTCTGCCCACACATGCCCGCACATGACACCACACATGCCCGCACATGGCCGCGCGGCCACAAACGGCCGCTCGCGACCGCATCATGTCCGCACAGCTCCGCGCAGCAGGCCGAACATTCCCTTCAACGACGACGACGACGAGACGAGACGAACGATACAGGAGAGAACCAGCGCAAGCGTGACAAGCGTTTGTGGAGTCTGCCGAACCGATTCGTAAAATATGAGGGGAGTCCGGAGGAGGGGGGCGGAGGACGACCCCGGTGGGGCCTTGGTTTCACTGGCTGGGCGCAAGAGAACGACAATTATCACAGTGGCAACGATGAGCCTGAACGGGAGGAGGAGGGGAGTGGATGATGACGAGGGGCGGCAGCACCTAGCGGATGACGACGAGAGTGCCTCGTCGTGGTCTGCCGTGGCCGTCGGTACAGCCGCCGCCGCAGCCGCCGCCGCCATCGTGCCAGCCCTCGCCGCCGTCGCAGCGGCCACCGCAGCCGCCGCTGCCACGGCCGCCAGCGCCGGCGGCCGCCGCTGCGGCGGTCGCGGGCCGCAGCTGGCCGCGCGGGCGCTCAGATGGGAGGCCCGCGGCCTCCACTGCAAGCAGGCCTTGGGCTCCCAGCGGGCCGGGGAGCTGGCCGGGGCGGCTGGCGAGCGGCCGGGCTTCGGGCGTGCGGGGTCGGCGATGCCCGCGTGAGCGGAGGCGAGGCGGGGGCTATCAGGCGGGCTCGCCTCGCCGCCGCCGTCGTGGACGTCGTCGTCGTCGCCGTCGCCGTCGCCGTCGTCGCCGTGTTCGCCGTCGCGGTCGCCGTGGTCGTGGTGGTCGGCGTGGCCACCGCCGCCGTCGTGGTCGTCGTCGTGGTCTGCGTCGTGGTCTGGTTTGTCGCCGTAATCTTCGTGTGTGATCGCAGTCGTCGTCGTGGTCGTGGCTGCCGTGGTTGTCGTGGTCATGGGTGTCGCCCCCAAGCGCAATATCTCCCTCGAGAGGGGGGGGAAGAGCGCTGAGTTTGAGAGGAGGAGCCTGCTCCTGTCCCCCTTCTCCTCATGTGTTTCCTCCTCCGTCCTCCTCTCTCCTCCTATTGCCCCTCATCTTTCTCAGGAGGATCATCCTTTCCCCTCTCGTCCTCTTCCTTGATGGCGAATACTGTTCGTGCTTCTGTAACGGTTGCACGAATGGATGGCGGTGATTTTTCACAGTTGCGTAATCTGGAGCTTGCGTCAGTTTCAAAGCCCAGAACTTACAAGTCGTAACAGCTTTACGGATGGGGGGCGGCCCCTTTTCAAGAGTTGGTTGTCGCGTGATATCTCGCTATATATTCCTACGGCTTGCAATGTGTAATGTCTCTAACAGGTGCTAAGATGGAAGGTGTTTCATGCCCAGCAAGGGGCTCTTGCCTGCATGGCGGGACCATGGGTCGTTCGTCTCTCAAAGGGGGTACACGCCGTTGCGAAGATGCAAGCTGTTTGTGGATTTCTGAGGGGTAGCTTCGGACGGAAGGCTGTTCTCCAGCCTCTTCGATGTCTCCCTGGCTTGCCCTGGTCCCTCCAAGCTCCCCCCCACCCCCTGCTCCCTTGTCCCTCCTCCTTCCACCTAGCCCGTGCCCTGCATGGGATACTCGACGGAGGAGTCAGCAGGAGAGCCGCCGCATGCCTGGTGAGCGTGAGCGGGCTCGCACACCACGGCTGCCGGAGAGCAGCCACGGCAGGCAGGCAGGCAGCACGCCCCTGCTGCAGCTTCGCTCCAGGCCCAGCTCCGGCCCCAACTCCGGCGCGGCTCCAGCCCTGGCCCCAGCTCCGGCCCCAGCTCCGGTTGCAGCTCCAGCTCGGGTCCAGCTCCAGCCCGAGTCCTTGCTGTAGCCCCGAATCGAGCTCCAGCTCCCCCTCCAGCTCGATCGCCGGCTTGAGCTCCAGCCCTTGCTCTTTCCCCAGCCATGTGGAAGACGATGAATGGAGAGGAGGCATTTTGCCAAATAGTTGCCAGATTCTGCTTGTTGTGGAAATGTATGTGTGAAAGTATCCAATATGTACACAGCATCATAAACATGTTGAAATGTACTTCTCACGCGATCGACATACTCTGCTGTTGAGAGTGTGCCTTGGAGGCGTGGGAATGTTCTGCGCGGTAACATGTCATCTTCAGCTATACAGGAAAAGGGGTGGCCACCGCGCCAGGATGCTGGCCGCTTTTCTTGATATGGGGGAGTCCTGCGGGGGAGTCCTATGGAGGAGCGCCGCGCAGCGCCGCGTCCCCCCCCCAGCCCCCGCAGGCAGAGAGAGAGGCCGCATGGCGCAGGGGAGCACGCGCAAGGGTGTGTTCTTCGAGGAGCGCAAGGGTGTGTTCTCCTCCTCCTCCTCCTCGTCCGCTCTCCTTCTCCGTCCGCCTCCTCCTCATTCTCAGCCCGCCTCCTCCGCCGCCCTCCGCCTCCGCCTCCCCCTACCTTGCCTCCTTTGTCCCACTCGGCATGTGAGCCCACTCGGCCGACGAGCGGACTTGCGACTCGATACCTGGGCGCGGCCCGGGCCAGAGATGAGATGCGCCTTGCTTCGAGGCGGTTGCGCGAGGGCGCGAAGAGACAACCGCGCGTCGCACATCGTGGGGTGCGACGCGCGATTTGCAGTCAACATCCTTATGAAGGATGCGCTGGTTCATCACGGCTACACTTGTATCCCTGCTTCTTCGGCCCGGACCATCTTGAGGCAACGTTGGCGTCCAAGGAACTCCAGATGGCAAGCGAGACCTCCAGGGGTCTTGCATCTTAGCTTGCATCCTTACTATAGGTTTTGATTCAGGCGGCCAAGGGTGCAGCTCGGCCGCCAAGCGGGCAGAGCTCACTCCACCACGCTGGAGCTGGAGCCTGCGGCGCGCAGGGTGTGGGCCGTCCGACGGGGGCGGCTTCTG